AAAATTTTAAATGGTATCCCCTACCCTCGTGATACATCAATTTAACGGTAATAAAAATTCGCGTATGATCACGTTAACAACAACAAAAAGAAAAAAGAAGAAAAATAAAAAGGAATTAAAGGTCGTTGATTCAAATTGACGTGTTTTTCTATATTTTCTGTTTTGTTTTGTTTTTCTTTTAAATCAAATTTACCCAAAATCGAATATTATTTATCGTTGACAAGTTTTAAAATGAATTTATTGTATATAAAATAAATAAAAAATAAAAAAAAGGAATGTTACCCAAAAATTAACAAAAAAAACAGAAACTTTAGTCGCTTGTTGGAACATTTGATAATTGTCGTATGTTTTTAGGATTGTTTTTTTTTTTTTTAAACAAAAGAAAAAGTTTAAAAAATAATCATAACCAATCGCAATTTGATATACCATGGGAATTAAAAAGTGTTAAAATTTAGTACACGTTTGAAAACAAGTATAATATACACTTTGAAATATAATATGAAATTTTTAATTATAAAATTTTTCATATTTTCGATGGTCCTTTTTTTATAGCTGCTGCTGCATATTTTTCGTATCACACAAATGCAATATTATATAGTCGGATAGAAAATATAATATTTTAATTTATAAACACATGAGATACAGCTTTTTTTTTTATAAACTTTCAATTAATTTGTTAATATTATATTTTGTGCGTTTATATTATTATTAATAAATATTATTACTTATTTATTCTTATTTGTTTTTTCTTCCTGTGCGTGTATAAACTGTAACTTTGTTTGCTTTTGATTTTAACGTTATTTATTTTTTTAAACATATTAATATTTATTATTGCAAGGAATGTATTATCATCGTAAACGACATTATTGTTTGTAAGAACTAGAAAAATAAGAAAGAAGAAAAAGTCATTATTTAAAATCGAATTGAGTTGATTATTTATCGATTAATTTTCATTAACTTACTGATGCGTAAAATTCGTTACTCAATACGTAGATATTTCCGACAGATATGTAACATGGTTTTAACGAGTTTATCATCAATAATAATAATAATCGTCGAGATTTGGGACGAATTAAATGCCAAGGAGTTATGTAACTACAAAATAATTTGTTTAACATTAAATTTATTTATAATTGTACTTATCTACATATATTACGTGGGCATAACATGATTGAACACATTTTATGCCTAACATAAAAATAATTTGTTTTTTTTTCGATCAAAATAATTTTTATTTAAAAATATTTTTTTGTTTATTGTCAAATCTCTTCTCATAATTGGCCAAAAATTCGACTATAGTTAAAAATTATATATATATATTAATTTAATAAATAATAAAAAATAATTAATAAAAATATATATATATATATTTTTTAAATCAAATAGATTCTTTGCTTTAACAAAACATAAAAAATAATGTTTATAATATTGTTAAAAACAATAATATTAATTACGCGTTTATAAAATTATTAAAAGCAATAATATTAATTACATATTTATTAAATTATAAAAAGCAATAATATATTAATTACTTAATTTGATATAAAAATTTCCAGTCAATATATACTTACGCATGATCAAAAATAGCCGAACTATGATCAATTATATTTTGACAAAGCATATTAGCTAACAATCCCCAACTAAAAGATCCAAATAAGTGGAACACGCACATTAAACTGTCTTCCTGATTGTTTGAAATTGATTTAATTTTAAGCAACTAAACAAAATTATAAACTAATTAATGAAATATACAATAATAATAATAATGAAGAAAGAAAAGAACTTACTTGCAATATATCAACTCCTATGGTAAAAAAACCAATAAGAGTTTGTAGTAATATTATTTTGTGATAAATGATATTTGTGTATTCAACGAATCTGTCATGATAAAGAGTATAATGTCGTTATTAAAAATAATAATATAATATAAATATTTTTTATACAATACGGAGGGAAGATGAAGAAGATCAAAAGTTTCCTTTAGGGTAATATGAAAAGTCAATTACATTTTTTTTTCTTTCTCTTGTTAGATTTTATTAAATAAACTTTGTTATTTAATTTGTAAAACTAAAAGCCTTGGGAATTTTCAATATAAATTTTATATGTAAGTCAATTTCATACTAACTCTATAGCACTATTGTGTGCTTTTATAGAACGAATTATTTGTTGATAAATTCGTTTATTCTTTTGGTTGATGTATTGTCTTTGTTCTATGTTTTCGAATGCTTCATCCAATGTGTATCTGAAAAATAGGATTTTTATAATCCTCATTCTTTTTCAATTTTTATTTATTACATTTTATTTTTTTGGGATACAAAAATTTTTCTTTTCTTTCTTTTTCATGTATATATATATTTTTTTTTGTTCATCTTTATTTTACCGAACGAAACGAAGCATAGCGCAAGCATGTTGAACGCACACAACGAAGAATCCATTTACAGCTGTTGTTACCATTCCAAAGAATACTAACAAAAAGAATACGCTCACTATTATTGAATAAAAAGATTTCGTTTGTTTTAAAATTAAATTCATTGGAATTGGTGATTTAAGTGGACGACTTTCGTTCAATGGTAAAATTACGTCCAATGCTTTTGGTAATATTGTTTGTATTAAAGCAAAAATTATTGCCACGTAGTACAGTCCTAGAAAATCAATAAATAAAAAAAATAATATTATATGTATCGAGGAATTTTATTTATTTGATCAGTGTGCTGAAAAGCTAAAAATATATTCTACAATCAAATAATTAATTGTTTAATATTACCTAACAAATTTTGTTTCGCGATAAATTAGTTAATTTTATTATTATATTATACTATTGTTTTGTTTTTCTTTAATTATTTTTCTATTTTTAATAGATTATCAATATTTATAATAAAAAAGTCGATATGAACCTTACCCTTACTATAAATACTGACCATCTAAATATATAAAAATATTAAACAATTATTATTTATATTTAAGAAAATATTCATACGCCCTAACCGATTTCTTTTACAAAATACTGATCAAATAAATGTGAGTTATACATTGATTTCTTTGAAAAATTGTTATTCACCAATAAGAATTATGTTATACAGTTTACTATATGATGCGTATTTTTCCAAAATATAAATTCCTTTAGTAGCGATTAATTCATTCCAATCGCATTCAATACGATTCCAAATAACTTTAATCTGTGTATATGTATATATATATATTACTGTATATATATATATATTAACTGTATATATATATATTAAATAAATAATCATATTGAGATAAATGAATTGAGTAAAATACATACCATTTTGATTTTGATGAAATCTACGTAATAATGTACGATAACGCAAAGATAAAATAATAAAAAGGAAATGATTTTTAAAAAATAATCAAAATTAAAGCCCACCGATTTTAATTTGATTATTTCCAAGATCTAGGAAATAATGTTAAATTAACAAACAATATATCATCAAATCTGATTTAAAAGTATTAAACCGATAATATAAGAATATAAGAATATTACCATTAATGCGATCGAAAAAAATATCACTACCTGTACGTAAATTGTTCTAATTAATTTAGTTTTTTCATTTTGATGAGGCCACATGCCGATCATCGACAAAAAGAATCGATTGATGTTGTAATAACGATTAATAGGGTAGCTCATATTTTCTCAAAGTCCACTGCACGTCTGAAACGTAAATTCTTCAAGGACTTTGTTTGTTCCCTACGATATTATTGACCCTTGACTTTTTCTTTTTTCTTTTTCTTCTCATTATTTTCTTCATTTTTCACTTTTTATTTTCCCTTTTTAATTTTAAATAATCGAACAAACATTTTGACATGAACGAGCGTTACACAAGTTAAATGTAAATTAAATATTAAAGTTAAAACGGTGGTAACACAAAAGGGTGGTTCGAGAGTGAAGGATAGGTATAGGAAGGGGGTGGTTGTTGGAAGAGTAATTGTCGATATTTCTATTACGTTGTTGTTACAAAGGCTTGCTCGAAATCGAAGTGAGAATATTAACATGTGCTAGTCTAGGATCGATCGGTTACAACGTTTAAGCTCTTTACGTATAATTAAAGTACACCCTAGGCTGTTCAATGTTTCCTCCCCTTTTACTCGCTCGCTCGTTCGTTCACTCATTTTTTTTTTGCTGCTTTTTTTTCTTTTTTTTTCCCTACCGCTCGACTTCACCCTCGTTCATTTTACCGTATAGAAAACACATCTACCTGCGTAGTTTGAATTTTGATATTAGTTTTAGACACAACGTAGGTACTCAATTACTTTACCTATCCTTATAAAGCTTTCGCGATTGATTTTGTTAATTATTATTATTTTTTTTTAATTTTATATATATAATTAGTATTGTTTTTTTTTAATATTTCTTTTGTTTTCAGTGTTTATAATAAAATATTATTACGTAATTGTATGTGTGTGGTCATTATCATATTAATTTAATATAATGAATTATTAAAGATATAAAATTTTAAATATTTTAATCCTTTGTCGGCATGCTGGATTTTATTAATGTTACGGGGGTTGGTTTTTTTTTTTAACGTTATTGCTATTTAAAAAAAGTGAAAAATATTATTAGAGTATTTTTTAGGATTTCAAATTAGAATACTATATATATTAAAGTAGTAAACGTATAGTAAAATTACTATATATATAGTAATTTTGTTTAATTTAAAAATAAATAATAATTCTCCATCGAGCATAGTAAAATTTACTGTACCTTTGAAAGATTGAATAGATAAATTATTATTTAATATATATCCAATAAAATATGAATTAATATAGATTATTTATTTTATAATTATACTGACCAAATGAAAAAAAATAGAAATGTTCATTTTTGTATATCGACGGAAACAAATTATATGCAACTTCAAAAATTTATTTATATATATTTATATAAGTGACAATATATTATTATTAGTGAATACATATTTTAATGATGGCTAAAGATGAGAGATCAGTTTTGTCCATTCGTTCCAGTTTCATCATTCGTTGATTCGTTCAGTGATATTTCTTATGAAAATGATCGTAATAACATGCCGTAAGATATAGATGACTGTAACAACTTTACAATACACATATAATATATAAATATATTGTATATTTTTAATTATATTAATTAATTTAATATAAATTATTAATACCGAAGAAAAAAACGTGTGCGATGAAATAAACATTTTTCCAATTGATAAATAAGATGGTCTCATGCTTCTCATTAATATTAAGGTTGATAATTTTTGCACTTTTGGTGTAAATAAATACCAAGGTACCGTGCACCTATAATTTTATAAGTAATTAAATAATTGTAAGTATTTGCAAAAATGATATATAATTGAAGTGTTTTTATTTCATAAAAAAAAAAAAATTATTTTATTTCGTAAAAATAAAGTAACGAAAGAATAAAACAAATTATATTTTTTCGTAATAATTATGATTCACGAATAGAGTTTCTTTTTTAAAGATTTTATAAAGGAATAAAATAATATTAAATTTCTAGAAAATTAAATGCTCACGTTTTGTCAAAAACGATGTGACTATGATCCAAAACCCTTTGTCCAATAATGCAATTAAATAATGTCCAAATGATCATACCTGATATGTGTAAGGTACACATGATCGTCATGGTAAAAGATTTCATGGTGCTAGTAGCTTGCATAAGCTGAAGAAATACGTTGAAAGGTTTATCATTTTATTCCAATTAATAAATGAAAAAAAGAGAGAGGAAAGGAGATAGATAGATAGATAGATAAATGAAGAGAAAGGCAAAAAGAGATTATATTCCTTTGTCTTCTCATAATAATAATATTCTTTGAAAGATTACTCACTCCCATTATGTCGGCAGCAAGGATGAGAAGAGTCATTATAATTTGAACCAGATAACAGATCTCGGCAAATGAATTTATTATTCCGGTATATCTTTTGTTAATAATAAAAGAAATAAGAAATATAATTGAAAATAGATAAAAAAGATAAAAAAAATTCATTTATATTATATATAAATTATTATATTTACGTGAATATATTTTTGTAGATGTAATATTATAATGTAATAATACTCACTCAATCGCCATTTTGTGATAATTAATACCACGGATTAATTTATAATAAATTTCTTTGTTGTCGATTAATTGAGAAAGATTTTCTTCATTTTCGTTAATCACGTGTTCTAATATATACCTAAAATATAATTATATATATTTATAAAATAATATAACGTAATAAATAATATTATACGATATTATATTTTTGTTTTAATAAATATATTTTGTAATAGTATTTAAAAAATAATATATTTTTCTTTTTTTTTTTTTGTAATAAATGGGCCGTTTATTTTGAAAGTGGCCTAAGTCTTTTTTTATTTTTTTTTGGTTGACCCGTAGTAACATCTACAAATAGAAGTTAACTATCAAAAAAATATTTTACGGAAAAATTAAAAAATGGACTTAGGTCGCTATCAAAATAAACGGCTCACGTAAGCGCGCGCACACAAGCATGTGTGAGTGTATGTAAGTAAGTAATGTTGGAATTTTTACTATACAAAATTGTAGTTTACTTTTCATTTATTTAGAAAATATTTAATAGTGGTTTTGTAAAAAGAAGTATTTAAATAATTAAATATAATTATATTTAATTAAAATTAAAATTAGTAAACGTTCCGACATTACTTATCAATCGATTAAATAATATTTTTCTATGGGTTTAATGGTCTTACCCGACGACACGAAATATCGCACATGTGTGTTGAATGAATGCTATAAAAAACGTATAGTTCGCTAAAGAAACGATACCATTGAACATTATAAATACGTTACTTATTATTAACAAAATATAAGGATTTTTCTTCTTCTCGATGATTATAAATTCCACTGGATAAATTAATTCGTAAGTATTGTTATTATTCGTTAATTTGATATCTTGTAGTATGATTGGTATAGCCGAAGAAATTAATATTATAATAACTGGTATATAAAAGGAATCTGAAAAAAATTTTTAATGATTTTTCTATTATTTTGAAAATATTTAAAATTCAACAAAAATAATTAAGAAAAGTTTATAATTTTATCTAATTAATTCAGTTACGGGTTATGCAGAAATACTACCAACTTTCAAAATAAACAAACAAATAGTGATCTCATAATTAATTAATTTTTTTTATTTACAAATAATTGCAAACTTATAGAAGGATTATTAAAACATTAAAACTACCATACAATGATTTTATTTTAAGTAGAAAAATAAAAAATGAATTTCATACGATATTAATTATACTATTTTCCAATGGATAATTCTTAAATAACAATAAGAACATAAATAAAATAAAATATAATCAAATAATCAAAGAAAAAAAAATTATTTATTTTAAATGAGTTTGAACAAAATTGACACAATTTTTCATCATTCATGAACTTGGCACACTTGTAATCGTAAACTTACATATCAATACTCGTGTTAATATTCTACTTTGATTGGCATAATTTTCAACGATTTTCAATTCCTCCGGTTTTAATTTGTTCCAGTCGCATATAATATGATCGGCAAAAATTTTGATCTATGATTAAAAGAAAAAAAAAAGTGTTAATCGATATTTACAATATAACCATATCATCGTGATCATGCGCGGTTTTTTTCTCGATTTATTTAATTAAAATGAAACCGCAACGTTACGAAAATTTTGGTTATAAAATAATAATAACGTCTTCTTATATTCTATAGATATCAATAATAATAATAATAATAATAATAATAATAATAATAATTTATCTTTTTTATAAACGTACTTCATTCTTACTAACATAAGCGGTACAATATACTGCGATGATACACAGACAGGGCAAAAAAAACATGAAATTGTTCAGCAACAAACTCATGGTAAATTTCGATTTGAATATGTTCAACACCTGAGAAGAGAAATATTACAAAAGATTAATTATATTTATTTTAATATTATAATTCTTAGTTTAAAGGAGGAGGGGTGCGGAATGTAACGAGCTGGTTAAGGTTGTTGCGTAGCAGATTATTCAGCTAACTGAGAGAAGAGAAAAAGTTATACAAATGCGACGACGTCATATATGAAATGGTTGAGTTAATTACCACTAAAGTTAACTACCAGGTTTAGTATACATTATATAAATATATATATATATATTCGTTAGTCTGATAAAATTATTTGAATTAAAATGAAAAATCGACATCGTGGAAAAGAAAAATAGAATATATTCTTAATTACTTGTATAATTTTTCAGAGTGTTTTTGTTTAGATTTATTATTAATTATTTGAAATAATGATAGAATATAATACTACAAACGACAAATATAATTATTTATATATATATACTGTTTTTTATTAATTATTTAAATATTAATTTTTAAATATAAAATGTATCGAAAAATGTTTAAAAGAAATTATATTATATATAATAATAATATTAAATAAACTATTATTATAAATAAACTAGGGGTGCCCCGGCCACGAGTTGCTGTGGCTAATAAATATATAGATAGATCTGAATCTACGCACATAACATTTGTCTTATTTTTCTCTTTTTTCTTAATATCGAACCAACTGCGCATGAGCGGTAACATAAGATCACCACTTACTTCACATCATATAATTTTACATTGTCTGAATATAGGCACATAACATTTGTCTTTTTTTCTCTTTTTTCTTAATATCCTTTTAAAGGAAAAATAATTATGGTGGGTCACCCTTATCACCCAGGGGTATAAGAAATATAAGAAAAACTATTCTCATACCTATCAAATATACACAAAAAATTTCATATAAATCGGTCAAGTCGTTTCGGAGAATAAGAATAACAAACACTGTGACAGGGGAATTTTATAGAGATAAAGATAAACAATTAATAAAAATAAGTATAAGAACAGACGAACAACGGTATTGAAAACAAATATAGTTCAAAGGTTTAATACTCTGATCAATCGTTTTAAATAATAATTATAAAAAATATAATACAAAACAATAGCTATCGTTAGATTATTATTATTACAAATATTGTATCTATTATAATATACGTTACCTGTGGTATTACCGTGAATATTAAAAAAACATTAACAATAGATGTCCTAATGCGTCTAGTTTTTGAATCCTGATAAGGCCAAAGTCCGATAAACAAAAGGAGTTCTCGGTTTAGTTTGTAATAACGATTCTCAAAGAAGTTCATCGTCCTTAGACAATCAACAATCTTATGTCCTATTTTTTTCTATGAATTTGATTTCCCCCTTGCTGATCTACAAAATATCATTTTGCTATTATTTCTTTCTTTTTAAATCACACTTTACTATCAATAATAATAATAATGGTATATAATACAAAGTAGTATTATTTCATTTAAACGTATATCTATAGTGTCGTGTAATCGTTTGAATTGAAAATTGAAGAGAGAAGTGATAAATAAAATATCCATTTGAATAAAATAATAATCACGTAAGTGTTATAACCATAAGTCAAAGGTGCGAACTCGAACACGTGTTCGCGTCAAAAAAGGGGTGAAGTTTCCATCGATTATTCTCATCAACGTCATTAAAACCTTTCTTTCTTTTTCTTTTTTTCATCTTCTTCTTTTTTTCTTTTTTTATATTTCTACCTTTAGACGTTTAGACCACACGACATGCGCCCTTTCATTCTCGACGTAGCACTTGACGGTAAAAGGTCTCTCTTTTACAGAAGAAGAGTAAAAGTGAGTGAAAGAGAGAGAATGAGAGAAAGATAGAGAGAGAGATAGATCGAGATAGAGATAGAAAGGTTTCTGTTTCATTGACGTGACGCTCTCTTTGGACGTAGCTTTTCAACCGGAAGAGAAGATCGATTCCATTGGAAGGTCCTCGATGAGCACCGTTAACTCGGAAGTCCACAGTTGAGTCTACCTGTTGCTTGTATTTCGCTAGATATAACTCTGGACGACCATCGAGAGAATTTATTTCGCACATTATTAAATATCTTTACATCTCACTGTTTTATCGTTTCATAAACAAAATTACCAAATTACTTGGATCAAATTTTGAAATAAAAAAGATTGTTGGTAATTGGGTTATTAGTATATTTGAATGTTTTATAGTGTTTCATTTGATGGTTAAATATATTTACTTCTAAAATTGAAATATAAAATAGTTGTTAAATTAAAGTATAATACTAAACTACGTGGGTAATATTTTAAATATAATATTATATAAGGGTTATTGTGGTTATTGAGTTAGTATATTTGAATGTTTCATAGTGTTTCGTTTGATGATTAAAAATATTTACTTCTAAGTATGAGATTTAAAATAGGTATTAAATAAAAGCACTAAATTACATGGGTCAAATTTTGAAATAAAAAAGATTGTTGGTAATTGGGTTATTAGTATATTTGAATATTTCATAGTGTTTTGTTCAATATTTAAAAATGTTTATTTCTAAGTTTGAAATTTAATATTATTGATAATTATTAAATATCCTTACATCTCACTATTTTACCAATCCATAAATAAAAGTATTAAATTACTTGGATTAAATTTTGAAATATAAAGGCTCTTAGTTATTAGGTTAGTATATTTCAACATATTTCGATGATTAAAAAATATATAAATTTAATTGTAAGCTTGAGATCTGAAATAGTTGCTATTTATTGTGTTAAATATTTTTATTGAATGGTTGATAATTATGATGTAATATTAGAATGTAATTTAAATTATGTGCATTAAAACGATTTTTAGAACTAAAAATTATCAGATTCTAAAAATGTCTAATAGATTATCGATAATTTTTGAATCTAATTAAATAAAAGGTGCATTTTAATCTTTCAGTATTATTAAATATTTATTTTTTGAGGATTAAATTGATATATTTATTATAAAATATTTATATGTAATATCGGTACTTATCAGAATGTATTTTTGGTACAACATTGTTCCTATTATTAATATTAATTATTTATTTAAGACATTCAAATTATATTATTTACATCGAATAATATTTTGGTGTGTATTGACCATTTTTTTCTTTTTACAAGATATTGACCAAATAAATAGAAGTGATACAAATGTATATATAATATTAATAGTAGAACATTAAAATAAAAAGAAAATAGTTTTTTTTCTATCGAACGTATTTCTTATCGATTTAAAATTTATTTTGATCTTATCGTGTACACATAAAATGAAATCATAACGTTTGTTTTTGCACTCTTTGACGTTCCTAATAAAAAATATTTTTGAAAGAGAATTTTTTACTAATAAATTCAGTTAGAACTTTATAAACGTTCACGTTAAAATTGTAAAACTTGTTACTTTCGACTTATTTATAATTTACGTATAACCAAAAGGGTTTTCACATGTAACACGATCCTATCGGGCACGCATGGAATAGGGTTCGCGCAGACGAGACGTACCAATCCAAGTTTTATGGCTTCGAGGATTTTATTCCTGACTTACGAGCTGGTTGCATACACACGATGTATGTCCAGCATGTTCAACGAGTTTGCTTCGTTTACAAAAGTAAAAGGATAAAAGAGAAAAAGAGAATAAAATTCGAAACTCGGCCAGATTGTACATCGAAGTTTTCCAAATAATCTAAACAAATACGACTTTCTCTGTTTGTTATATTTTACTTTTTATTCGATTTTTATATCGGAAATCACGAGACTCTATCTCGATGAATTTGTTGAAATAAAATGAACAATATTTCGTTTAACTTACGCTGATTAAATATAATATTTCAATTGTGTAATTTGAATAATCTAAATAAATTTTGTTAGATTTCATTTGTTAATAAATAGTAAGATAAAAGATAA